GTAGAACGCACCTAGTCCGAAGTCGTCTGCCATAGTAGTTGTCATGATTCCCAGCATCAGACAGTTGACTAGGTACATTCTCAAACATTTCGTCGGAATCATCATTGCGTTTTGCGATTCTCCGCACCAAGCTACGAACTTGTCAGAGACAAATGAAGTCAATTCCTCGACAAGTCTGTAGCTTGGTGCGGAGAATGGCAAAACTCACAAATGATGCCGACTACGATGCCGGCGAAACGTTTGAGAAACTACCAAATTCACTGTCTGATGCTGGGAATCATGTAAACTACTATGGCAGACGACTTCGGACTAGGTGAGTTCTACTAAGTCCCCCTAACAACAAAACCAAGTTGCGACGAGATCAACCCACTTCGATAGTTAATATAGTTTACTATTTTCTCTTAAGCAGTGTAAAATAAATATTAAATTTACAATGGAATCAGAAGAAAACATGAAATTATCTTTTTTTGGATGTTATGGTTATTAGGAAAGATACTAAAAGCAGATGAATTTATAGGAAACCAGTATATCTGGTTTTGTTCTTAATTTTCTTTCTAACAAAAATTATAAAACAAAGGTTTGGATTTTAAAATCTATGATTAATGAGTACGAAGTATGTGAGTGAAAATAATCTGACCAAAAAATTAAGAAGATTGAAAGATTTATACCTGGAGAATAATTAACCTTTATGCTTAACTGATATTAATATCTCTTGGATGAGACATATATTTTTAGGCGAAGACTATTTGGTGAGAGATAGACAAGTTGAGACCCTTTCTAATATTTTAATCTTGCTATCGTGCTTTCTTTCTAACAAGCTAGAAAAATTAATGAGAAAGTGGGGCATAAAGACAGTTTTAATGAAACTTAGGTTATGTTGTCTTTTAACGAGAGAAAATGTCTCATGGACTACGTCAACCTGAACGCCGCACAGCCAAATGGCTGTAGTACAACGGGAATCAGCCGTGGTCTTATGGTGAGATCGATCTGCTAATCTCTTCTTCATGCATTTTCATACGAAATGATAGTTTTTACAACACAAAGAAGCAGTCATAGTGGATTTAACTAAAGTTGAGAAAGAATAGATGCGTATTTAAGGAATGTCATAAAAACCCTGGGACTAATCTGCATTGTCAATATTCTTATTCATGTCTGTAAAGTAAGTAAGTTATCCTAGCGCCTGAAAGATACTTTTTCGACAACAAAATTAATAACGGAAAAACAGAAGACAAAATAAAGACACACAGAACCATGAAACATGCATATGCAATGTGAATATAAACAAATACATATCGATGTCTCCATGTGAATAAATTATCTACTACCCAGGCTTACAAAATGTGCTTGAGTCCTCTGTAGTAACAGATGATGCGGAAAGCTCAGGTACGGGTATGAGAAGTGCCTGTGAAATAACAGCTGACTGATTCAAAGTAGTGCCAATGTTGGTAGATGTCAAATATCTGTCGAGGCAACAATCAGCGGTTACCTGAGGTGGCAAAGCAAGTGTAGTTCTAGTAGCGGGAATCTGCGAGTTTGCTAAGGCATCTGGCATTTCAGGTGGGATGACTGTTCGGCTACGAGGGCTGGCCTGCGAAACAGTTAGTATTATCAAAGATGAACGCTGAAAATGCTCTTGGTCCTCAAGTGACTGATTATGGCTGCGAGTCTGTAAGTGATAGGATTTAAGGAGACAAATATATATATGAATGAATAAATTAGAAAAAAATCACGAATTTAAAGAACCATAAAGTCAAATAAGTTTTTTCAGATAGATCTAAGCCGAGAAATCTAGCAAACAAACAG